TCTTTCGTTCCGACTTACATCTGCAGTGCTCACACTAGTCATTTGACTTAGCTAGAGAAAAGCCAGATACTTTGTCTTACATCTTTTATTATTCACTAAAGATTCTATCCTGCAGTGTACAAAAACTGTGTACAAAATGTGTGTATGAATGTGAATTGCTAACAAAATTGATATACAGTAAAATGCATATTCATACAGGAAAAACATAACAACGGATGCATATTTTCATGAAACATTTAAAAATAGGATGGAACAAACTGAAGGTCAGAAAAAGGAGAAATTGAGAATAACCAATATTGGCTTATTTATTTACAGCTAAATAGGCCCTATTTGGCAGGAGATCACATTCCTATGATTAATGCATATTGGAGAAAGTGCTACTCCATTCAATGAATGGACAAGAAACAAGTCATTGTGACATTATATAAGAGTTTTTACTGCATTGTCCATTTACTGTGTGAAACGGAACAAATGCCTGGAAATTTGAAACAATGGTTCATAACCTCCTCTAGCTTCTCTCACACACATTTGACCACTCATATCTCAGAGTCTTCCCCATCTGAAGCTGAAAGCAGCTGAGTGACAAAAGAAAGAAATCTCAGGTGGAAGAATTTCACATGGTTTACACTGACATTCCTTGTGCTCCTGATTGATCACAAGCTTACTTTCAATGTCTAATGGCTTGTATTGGGGGATATTGATATTTAGGTCTGTAGTCCTCATACAAAGACATTACATCTATCTCTTTGCTGGTATCCCCAACCAGCTGGAAGGTGAATGTCTGGAGCAGAGTGGAAAGAAACAGGGAGAGCTCTGCCCGAGCTAGGGGTTCCCCTGGGCAAGCCCGTTTCCCTAGAAGAGAGAAAGAAGACAGAGTTGACCCATCGCTGGAAACCTCTATAACCCAAGAGAGCACAATGAACTTGCATTCTGCGGTTGGAGCCTATTGAAACAAACAGAGTCAGCATGAAGAAGACAGAGATGGCAAAGAGGCTTCAGTTCTCAAGGGAATTCTTCAGCAGGGACAATCCCTTTCCCCACATCCGAGCACTTCCCTTCTTTTATTGAACCCCTTTTGGGGAGTGTGGCTGCAAAGATCGGAACAACAGCTCCTTCCCAAGTTGGACTGGCTAATTCCCTGGACAAGATAGAGCCAAAGAATCAGAAGAGAAGTTCTTCCTAACTGGCACGTCTCTCTGCTGCTTGCCTTCTGAGGGAACTTCTGTTGGCCTCTTGATCCACTATTGTCTGCCCTTGATTCAGCTTGGGCAACCGCACAGCCAGGACCTAGGCCACTCTTACCAAACAGAGCATAGGAAAGGAACATTGGGACCAATCCACTCCCCTAGTGGAAAGCCAATTTTGGCTTCTCTCCTTCTGAACTGTCCCTTTTCATCCAAGAAATGGTTTGGGTTAAACTGCTCTGGAGTCTCCCAATACAGAGGATCCAAATGTGAGGATATAAGCAGGGCACAGATAGCAGTTCCCTTCCGAGCACAAAGACAGATTGCATTACTTGTTGCTACTTCACCATCCAGATCCAGAAAACAGGCTTCTGTGAGGAAGGCAGGCCGTTGTAATAGGAGTTGCCTTAAAGAGTGGAAAAGAGATACAGCCTACCTGGGGAATGTTGTGCTCCTTAATTTTTGTACAATGAGTTGTTGTACGTGGAAAGTTCTCGGGGCTCAGTTTCTCATACCGTAGAATCTCATGGATTCCTGCATAGGTAAAGGGCATCCTCACCCAATCTTGCATTTCAGGAGCCTGTTTAGTACTTTTCCTGTAAAAATAAAAAATAAATGAAAA